ATTTAAAATAAATAAATAAATAAATAAAAATTAAATTCACATGTTTAGTAAGTTTACCATCATTTATTTTTTAGTACATAAATCCAATTCTTTGCTATCTTGTACCAATGCAAACTATCAGATATCCATTTTTTTGATTTATGTTCCCCCTTTGAAAACAAAAATATTTTAGTTTGTTACTTACCAGAGAAAAAAGCACAGCAAGGTTCTCCATTCTCAGGCTTAAAGACATTTGGTGGAGTTTTCTGACAGTATTCAGACAATGACTTGTTAAGTAAGTTTAGAGCAAGTAACTCTGAAAATTAGAAAGAAAAAAACCCCAAAGATGAGATCAACAAAATAAGCCAACTTGAACTTTATCAATACTGTTCACTGTATAGATTGCTTATAAAAAAATTTCATAGCAGATTTCTGTGAATTTTAGGATTTCATATAAAAAGAACTTTTGACACAGAGTTAGCTATTTAACTTACTAGACAGACTTATTAGAAGGAAGAGGTGAGATAGCTGATATTTACTGACAAATTAGTTCAGTATGACAGCAAAATGACCAGTAATTCTTCCTACTAATCCAACAAGCACCCTTCACTCCAAAATCCGAAGCATTATTTTACAGCCAGGTAACACTGTGGGAATGATCTAGTTCAGCCAGTGCATATGACAGATTATGAGATCTCATCCTGCTTGTGTATTTATTTTTTATATCAAGTCATTAAGCCTGCTCTATAACATCACTTCTAGGGAGGAATTCAGTCATGTTTCAAAGGCGGTAAGCCACAAACAACCTATACTATCCCTAGATAAGTCAAGGAATAAACTTCCCTCACTTTTTAAGATCTGCCCTGTATTTTTGGTTTGAACGCATTTAGCTTCCACTTCCAGCCACTGAATTTCATCATGCTCTTTTTCTAGTAAGTTAAAAAGCCAGTGGCTATCTGAAGTCTTTATACATGCACATAGATGAACAACATTTTTTTTTGAGCTTATCCAAGAACAACTCAAGTCTCAAAAGCTGTAGTTTCTAATTTTCATGTTATCTCTTTTGAATCTCTTTAAGTTTCTATAATTAGAACAGGACAGAGTACTAGAAGACAGCTCCAGTAAACACTGTATGGGCACAAGGAACACGTCTCTTATTCACTATCTTCTGTTTAGATATCCTTTGCCTAGGTTGTGGGAGCTCTTGTCACTTTTCTCTACAGTCTTAGGTTAAATTTTATTCAACTGCTTACCTTCAACATTTTCAGATTTCAATCTCAGAGTCACTACATACCATGATCCAATTTCTTCATCATTCCACTTGTATTCTTAGATACAAAAACTCAGAGGTAAGCCTTGGTGCTATAAGCTCACTTGAAACAGTAATGAACTAGAACTGTAATAAATGACAAATCAGGAAGCAAAGAAACTAGCAGAAAGAAAAAAAGCTGAATAAACTTACCACTGTTATTTGAAATCTGACAGTAGAATTCTCCAGGATTGTACAGCGTACACACTACAACATCTACTGTTTGTTTAAGAGTTAGTTTACTCCACTTGCAAATTCTTTTTTTCTTTGTGTCCTCTAGAAAGAAAAGAGAGACACAGAGGAAGAGAAATTAAAATAACTTTTACAGGGGAAAAAAAATTACATACCCTGAATGCTCATTCATGTCCTCAAATTTCTTGTTATAAGTAATCCAACAAACTAACTACAAGTGAGAGCCTATTTGCAGAATAAAAGCAAGTAAGAGAAATGTGCCAGTTGCTTAATGTATTTGATCACTACTGAGAAGGGCAAGCCATAGATGAGCAGGGAAGAGTAATCCCACAAAGAGGTACAGACCAGGTGGCAACAACCTGCACAAGAGGGACCCTGGGGAACCTTGGTTCTTGGGCAACAGGCTAGGGGGCATAGAAGGAGGAAACAGCTGTCACCAAAAGTACTGGAAATGGTCTAAGGAGGAGAACAAAAAGATTAATAGAAAGACTGGTTGCAGAAGTTTGCACTGTATATTATACTCAAGTACCTGAAAGAAGTTTATTATTTAACACAAGTTGTAGAATAGATCATGTCAAAACTAAATTATGGCACATTGGAGAAGCCATCATTTCCTCCATTAGCATATTATTAAATCTTCCTGTATTTTTCATAGCTGTTAAGTTTGTTACAACTTGTGGTAGGCAATGGCATGCAGAAATACCATCAGCCTTTTAAAGAGTTGAGTACAAACAGCTGGCCTCCGACTTTGGTAGACCTTTCCAGTTTAAGTGTTTGGGGTTTTTTTCTGAAAATGAAGCTCAAGAAAGTTTTGCATTTCAAGGATGGCCATGCTGAGATGCTGTTCCGTCTGCCCAGTACTGTGTCTGACAGTAGATTACTTTAGAAAGTCATATTGCCAACAGGCAAAGGGAAAAAAAAAAAAAAACAAAAACCAACACACAAAACTAAGCCACCACGCCACCCCAAAAAAAAAAAAAATCAAAACAGGCTCTCAAATCTTCTTTATTTTCAGTGGAATACAAGACTGTCCTTCACACTATAAGCAACTGCCAGATCCCTACCGGAAGGGACAAAGCACAGTTGGCATATTTGGAGAAATATGCTCAAAGAAATAGAAGCTGGTTGAATTTTCCACTCCAGGAGGAGGAAAGGTTGACAAGAAAAATAAAAATTAACAAATGGCTCAAAGTTTAGAGAAAGCTTTAGGAAGCTTAGCAACTGTGAAATATAGTTGTTTGTTTTTTCATGTGATTGTGAGATTTCTTCTAAATAGTCCTCTAAACCAAAAAATACATTGTTTCTTAATTTTGGCAAGTTAATTAAAATCTCCTCTTATATGATGGTGGATCCAGCAATCACAGATTTAGTCACTAAGTTTAAATAAAGCAAACAAGTTAATGAAAAATTATTTTGCAAGTTGGCAGAGGAATGTATCTGTTCAAATTCCAATATAAAAAGCACATGTTTTAAAACACTTAAGACAAAAGTGGATGATCTGTTTAGAACCTGCATTCAAAAGCTCCCACTCAGTGCAAGAAATTAAAGAAAGGTGAGAAGTAACCAAGAAACACAAGTAGTACAAAACAGGTCCAGGACGATGGCCATAGAACAAAATGTGTTTGGATATAACGATGAAAGTTACTGTTCATTTGAATTTTGTACAAGATGCCTTACCCTG